ATCGATCTTCCACCAACTATTGTAACAGTTGATCCGAATACAGGGACACTGTACATATTTGATCCCATAGGGTCTTTATTTAAGTCTACTGTATAAATTGCTATTGACTGGTTGTCTGCCTTTTGTGTTTACTTCCTTCTGTATCCATGATGTTCGTCTCTTGTAGACTGTTACCTCTGCTAATCTCTTATTGAGTGTACAAACAGATGTTCTATTTTGTATGTCCAACTTCTCAATTGACTCACTTTCTTTTGTTATTATTGCTATTAGTAGTCTCTATTAGGTTCCAGTTTTATATTTGTTCCTACGCAAACACTTTCCCATTTCATTGTTTTGAGTGTTTTCGCGCATATAAGTTAATCAATTTTATTGTTCTCATTGTTGGTTTTTATATTTGTGTGTTTTCCCTTATCCTTAAAGTAAATATGACAGTTATCCAGGATAAATCAACATCATAAAATATTTTTTTCACAAAAAGAATCCAATGAAATTTCAATTTATTTTCAGGTTAATAGGGATTTCATTTTTAAGGTAATTTTCATCATGGAGTGATATCATTTAGAGAACCCTAAAATCCTTGGAGCAGTGAACAGCCCTTTCGTTCTAGTGCGGGACTCCTTGGCAGTACCCACCTAAGACCCCTGCCAGGGGTCAAACCAAGGACTTTCAAGTCCCACGGCGAATACGCTAAACATTGAGCCACTGAGTAAGTATTCAGTGATCTACAGTTTCCTACTCCTATCATTTTGCGATATAGTACGACTATCCACCAAGATCTTCATCTGCATCCGCTTCACTTCCGACTGATTGACCCCATAGATCAGTGGCTGACTAGTTAACGCGTTTCCTGTGAAAGCTGAAGTTGCTGATTCCTAGTAGGTTCGCAGATGCGCACCACTGAAGATTCCCATACTAGGACGAGAAAGCTGTCCGGTGCTTCCATGTCTTCAACGAAAATATTTATCACCTTCTCCAACCAAGGAGGTGGAGAGATTCAAGTCTTTTTGACGATGTTGTGTTCTCTGCGCTGAGTGGTTTAATCATAACAACATCATCAGCGCAAACTCCAGAAAGTTTGTGCTAGGAGGATCTTAACTGAAAAACATAGAGAAGCCTTACGTAAACTTCGAATGAACGAGAATCTGTTGATCACTAGGCCCGATAGAAGTTCAGGGGTGATTATTATGAAAAAAGTGGGATGCCTCGATAAAATAAACAGTCTTCTTAGTTACCATAGTTAATTTTAGAAGTTATCAACTAGTACTGACATGACAGAAAAAACTAAAAAGCAATTATCTGAATCCCCAAAAGCATTTAAAAAGCTAGGCTTTCTTTCACAAAGTGTGCACGAAACACTCAGACTTACCGGTACAGCAATACCAAGGTTATACGGTTTACTGGATGTACATAAAAACGGACTACCACTCTGACCAATTCTGAACATGTCTAACTCTCCATGTAATGTGACTGCATAATGGTTAGTACAACTCTTGCAACCATTGCATAAAAGAGGTTGTAAAGTACAGCGTTAAAGATACTTTCCAGTTTACAGAAAGGTTAGATTTGAATGTGAATAATACACTTATCATATCCTTGGACGTATCATCCCTATTCGCCAATGTCCTCTTGATGGAAACGGTAGGTTTCATATGTATTGGTCTGACGAAGAGAAATGTAGAAATCGGAATTAGGGCAACTACCTTGAAATAACTTCTCTTAGGATGTACGATGAATGTACATTTCCTCGTCAACAAGAAATTCTACACACTATGTTGCTATAGGGTCACCACCAGGCCCAATCCTAGCAAAATTAGAAAAGAGCTCTTTGGAAGCATGGTGAGCGAGTTAGAATTGACTGCCGTTATGGGAATGATAGATTCCTAATTCTGAAGGCAGATGATGCAAGTATTACACTTGGTAAACTTAGTAGCATCCATCCAGCGATAACCACCACTAGGAGAGTGATTGATAGCATTATCTTCTTGGATGTCTGATTGGAAACGAAGACGGATAGAACTGTAAAAGTGTCTGTATATCAGAAACCAATGTCACCCGGTCAATACACCTATATTTTAAGTTCTGTCCCCTTGCAATGTAAACGAAATTTAGTCGAATGTTTGGACTATCGGGGAGGATATCTGTTCACATGACACTTTCGATGAAGAACTCCAAATTATCCACGACCTCCTTAGTAGTAATGGATATCCAGAAAAATTTCTAGCCAAAAATATGAACATATCTAATGCAAAAACCAAAGTAACTGCAGCTTCCAAGAAATTTTTGTTCCTAATTCTACAGTCTCAGGGTGATATCAGCGAAACTGTAACATAGCACCTTAGGAAAGCCACAAGACAACCATTTAGTGCAGCAAAGTTATGCTGTGCATTCTACAGTCGGTCGATGATGACTTCACGAATGAAAGACAGACTACTTGACTTCGCCTCTTTTGTGTGCATTGACCAGTTGAATTGCTCATGTGGAGCTAGCTACATTGGGCATAAATTTAGGCAAGTCCCTTGTCGAGTCGCCGAAAATCGATACGGATCTCAATACTGTCTCATCTCGTCGCCTACCTACTTGCGACGCATTTAAAGCTATTTATCATATTCCTAATCTCACCCATACTCTACGAGTTCGTCTTTTACATACAGCATAAGCCATCGGAATAACCCGAACAAGCCGAGCCTGTGTTCCCAAGTAGTTTGTACAGCCTCTTTCCTTGCCTTGGTCATCTGTATAAGTTATCTGTAAAAAAACAGAACCCTCGCATGCACTCATCCTAAAAACGTATACAGTTTTAGCCACTTTACCCTTCCCTTGCTAGTCTCTAATTACTGTCTAAAATTAACCACTTGACATAACAATTCGTTTTCTATTCCCTTCGTGTTACTTACCATTACACAAACTCTCATTGACATATTCTAAAACAAGTTAGTTCATCGAAGGAAATTTTGTCGACGAATTGTCTTCAGCAGCTGTACAATCGTACACTTATTGTTATAACAAATGAACAGTTTAGTCTATTTTGACCAATAGGTCATATAAACAGAATATCCTAGGGTGAAATTGTGGGCCGATTGTAGAGTTAGAAAGGGATTAAGTAATCAAGTGTGTATAAGGAAAACATACAGTGAATTAACATGATGACTAATAGGTTAAAAAATAAACAGGTCAAAAATAATGATGCTAATCACAAACAATAATCTGAGTAAAGCATTGTGATAAGTTTAGTGGGAGATTGGGGTTAAGATGGGGAAAGTAGAAATAAAAATTAATGATAATCAGTCAGTAAGAAGAGTAAGATGAATACTAAAGCAATAAGGAAACCCAAGAAAAGAAAGGATTATGACCATGTTAAAATAAGAGAATGGAGGTACTTCATCTGTACACAGGGCTCAGGCTTTAATTGTTGGATTGACAACGCCTCTGAATCTGAAGTTTTCACATGGGAACCATTTGAACAACCAGAGGCATCTTAACAAAATGAGAATCATCATACATTTAGTTCCCTTGACAAGCCTAAATGAAGCCAGAACGAAGACATTTGCAGAATAAAGTGAACTCACTTTATTTCATGGCGTTTCATCAGCTCCAAGCAGTCTACAATTGAAGTGAAATACTGGTGGCAATAATAACATATTTTATATGAATCCTGGTCAAGATTTGACCGTTTCAGAAATAAATATATGTTATAATATAGATCTTGATTATTCCATTGAAGACGAAGCCCGAACCAGGCTTTCATGCGAAACGTTAGAATTTATTATTTCGAGTAGCGTGACATACTTCAAGTATGTAGAAATAAATAAAGATTCGAAATCCAAGATAATCAATGAAATGGTGATATATTTTGAGGTTAGTAGGGATTTTATGTTTGAGATAGCATTCGCCACAGACTGACAACAGTTGGGTAACTATTCAAAACCTGGGAGCACTAGATAGTTGTTTCGCCCTAGCATGGGACTCCTGAACAGTACGCACTCAACGGATGTCATTCCGTGAGGAGCGGAACCTTAAAAATAAAGTAGTGAGTCAAAGAAATGCAGGGTTATTCATCACAAAGCTTAGCCGAAATCAATGGCAATTTATGTCATATGAGATATTAATTCTGGAGTTGTGTTTCCTTGTTTGTCTGATGCATTGCAACACGTGGCGTTTCTCCTGTTTCTGTTTGCTCTTTTTTGAGTATTTCAACTATATTTCTGTTGTCTCTCGACCCGTTCAATTTCATGAAATCCTGTTTTCGACTTTAAATAAACGACTTTTCCAACTGTTAGTTAGTAAGAAGTATATTTCGGTTAGGAACCCCACCTCTTGTCAAACACATTTCCGAATGTTTATGTTATGGTTCTATTCCATAATAACTTTGTACATTTCAAACCATTTGCAGCTCAAAAAAGCTGTGGAGTGAAGAAATAAACTATCATGTAAATCTCCTTTATACTATTATGAAAACCGATAGCAATGATTGTAATTTGATATGTAATAATGCATAAAAGTAATATGATCACACATTGAATTAGTTTACCCAAACTAGTTAGCTGAATCTCAAATAAGAGAAAGTAAGAATTATTGAAGCAAAAATATTCACTGGTTATATATAAGGTGCAAGATTCATTATTTTTACTCAATATGGAGAAACACCACTCTAGGTTGAAAACGCAGAACATTAAAAATATGTGATAGGGTAAAGATCTGGTGTCCGGAATGTGAAGTTGTGACTCATTGGTCTAGGGAGTTGGCTTCCACCCAATCAGTCACTGGTTCGAACACCGCTCCACCCACCCAAGGTATTTGAGCAGTCAAGTAATGAAATCATAAGTGATATAAATTCGGTTACGCCATTTTATATTTGCATTAGTTGAAGTGTTAGAAGAATCTGGTTCACACATCTCATGCTTGTAGTGGATCCAAAGAAATTACAAGTTAAATATGATTAACAAAAATGGAAACAGTGATGTACACAAGTATGAATAGTTAAGCATTATAATACTAAATAGGTAATATCAGTGTTATGGATAATAATGGTTTGCTTGAATATTATCTCTTTGGTACTGTCCACCACAATTTAGTATACTCCAATGTTAGTTCAGTAGACGATAATCGTTAGCGCTCCCGAGTCGATGTTGTTTGGCTTAATTGTCGTGATATTTGGAAGTAGGATCAGAGGTCCTTTAAAATCCAAGGACAATTGATGAGTATTCACGTGAGACAGTAGTCGACGGAAGTAGATGTCGGAGTGGGTAGAAGCACTCTATATTTCCACGTCTTAAAAGCAGAAGTAAGGTAATATAGTACCGCGACAACAAAAATTCCAATTTTTAAGTTGTACAGATAAACAATATTCGTTTTAACAAACATTAGGAAGAATGTACAAAATGTGTAAAAGGTGATAGAAATGAAACACTAACTTAAGTGATTTATACATAATTTCATGCAGTCTCCCGACAGCTGTACGTCTAGAAAATCCGGTGGAACTGCCTGGAAGAAGAGAGAAAGTTTTCATACAAGGTTGGACCTAAAATATGTGCAGATAAAAAGGAGATTTATACCCGGGGTTGTTATTTAAATGTTTATTATTTAGGAAACAAAGTAATACGCCTATCTATTAATTATGATTATAATTGTTCGAAAATATGCACATTTCTTGAATCACTTGTAAAACATATATTTGTATAAGTGCAATGAATAATGTGAGTTGTGTGCGTTGTATATAGTATAGTAGTAATAAGCGGCAAGTATATTTATCAGGAAATTCGATATAAAATAATAAAGTATGTAGAATTAGAAATGGGTAGAAAACCAGTCAATTAAATGTACATGTCGTTTGGGTTTGTTATTTAGTCAACCACTGCGTGTGCTGCACAATGGAATTGGAGGGTAGTCTGTACGCTGGACGGGATCGGTGCTAGCAGATGAAGTTTTACTCTGAAGCAGTTCACTTAGACTGCATTTGCTACGAAAGGTGGCTGGAGTCCATCGAAGTCTACTGGTTCTCGCCTGCAATGTTTGTTTACTATGACTTATTTCTCTGCCAGGCTAATCTCCGGAAAAAGTCGTAAATACAGTTGTTGAAACCACATCGATCCAGACAAAAACAGACTTTCAGGAAATAAGTTGTTTATCCAGCTGTTCTCGGCGGTTACTAGTGCCAGTTGGTGTGGACTGTAAGAGCTACATGCGTTGACTGAGTTACTCAGCAAACACAGAAATATCAGTTTCACATGTATTCTATGGGTTTACCAACTGTCATAGTACGACGAAGTTTGTTCCGTATACCAGCTGAGCTGGAGTACATCCTAGGTCCTCTTTTGTAATAGATCGGAGTCCAAGCAGGAGGACTGAAAGAAACTCACTCCATTTAGTACTGTCATTTAGTGCTATCAGTGAGCTTTTAAGATGTCGGTGAAATCTCTCCACCAGACCATTCATCGCTGGATGGTATGCTGTAGTTCGTACACGATACATTCGGAGGAGTCGAGTGAAATCTCGGAATAAGGCCGACTGGAATTGTGAGCCTCTGCCGAAGTGAGTGTAGTAAGTACACCGAAGTTAGAAACCCAGCGATCAAGGAAAATGGAGGCAATATTCTCAGCTGAAATATCACTTTTAGGGCAAACGATGGTCCATCTGGGGAAACGATGTATTGCTGTCAATATATAGGTGAGTCCTTTGGATGCTGGGAGAGGTCCTACAAGATCTACGTGGACGTGTTTGAAACATCTGTCAAGTAGCTGGAATTGATGAGGCGTGGTAATCGTGTGTCGATGTACTTTTAAGCGCTGACAATACAAGCATTGCTGTGACCACCTTCTGATATCTGCGTTCATTTTAGGCCACACACAACGTTGACTAATGAGTCTAAGAGTGGCTAGCATGCCCAGATGAGATAGAGAGTGTAATTGTTGAACCACAGCTTTTCGAAAGGCCTATGGAACGAAAAGACGGTGCATACTTATAGACATATTACACACAATGGTAGCGTTGGAAAGAGGTACTTGGGCGTCCTTGAGAATAGGTGTTGAGTTTCTTTGGTTCGCCAGGAGATCAAGGTTGTTTTTCCGCAGTGTTGTCATATTTGCGAGCTCCGTGTCTAGTTGTTTTGTCAGGAGATTCACACTGTAGCGTCACACACTTCCCCAAAATCAATAGCCTAGGGTTTGACAAGATTTAACATTGATGCTGACCATGATAGTTTAACCGGACTCGCTAAGCTGAAGGCACCTGGCCAAGCATCGTCTCCATTTAGCATGCTGTCGTGTTACGTGGCACTGCACGGAATCGACCCTCTAGCCAGTTGTTTGGAACGCATTGATATCTTGGCACGACCTCGCAAATATACTATACCATCCGACTAAGCTATTGTCTTCTTTCTTGATCTCGTATTTGTGGGTATATAACAAGTTCGAATAATTAGTGATTGGCCTTTGCGTCTGTCAAGTTCGCACCAGGGCAATTCCTAAAACATCATTTCGAGACTAGGAGGCGACAACGACATAAGCATTACCTTTAATGAACTGGATATCCATACAAAACTGTGAGATTCAGTCCAGTTAGCTTGCTTCTCTTGGGGAATATCTATCAAATGGTGTGGGGACAGCATAACATAATGGTTTATGGTCAGTGAGAATGGCAAAGTCAGGACCTTGTGACAGATAATAACAGTGTTAGACAGTGAGGTAAGCGGATAGAAGATCTCTCTCCAAGGTACTGTATTTTGTTTGGGATGGCTCAAGCGTCTTCGAAGAGAATGCAGGTAGAAGCATTTTATCCTCAAGTTCTTGCTATGGAACAGCTCCCACTGAGGACTGGGATGCGTCTATGCAGATCACATGGACTTCTGCTTTAGGATTCAAACGTGAAAGCATAGGTACCCGTAATAATGCTTCCTTGGCGTTCAGAAAAGCTTGGCGTACTTCATCGAGGAAACAGAACTTTTGTGTTTACCCCTAAGCAACCCCATCGTAGGCTGGAGAACTGAGGCATAGTGTGGAATGAAATGTTGGCAGAATTTCAACATACCGAGGAAACGTCGAAGTTTTTTTGCTGAGTCAGGTTCGCTCCACTGAAAGAGGGTATCGCTTTTATCATTAAGAGGTTTTATCCCTTTTGTATCTATGTAATGTCCCAATAATTCTTACGATGGTACTTCAGAGAAACACTTACTGGGATTAATGACTACTCTGTGTTGTTGAAAACGTTCGAACAAGGTAGCAAGCTGTTGGAATTGCTCTCTTTGCGAAGCACTTGCTATCAGGACGTCATCGACGTAGACAAAAACAAACTCTAAACCTTGCGCAACCTGATCCATGAATCATTGAAACAATTACGTTACGTTTTTGAATCCAAATGGCATCCGGATTAACACAAACAATCCGAGAGGGGTTATTATTGTCGTTTTTCCAATGTCTTTCTGTACAACAGGTATCTGATGGCATGCACGAACTAAGTCCACCTTTGAGAATGTTTTTCTCTTGCACGGCGGGGGAGACATCGTGTAGGTGTTGGGTGGGGTAACGATCATGACCAGTTGCATTATTCAAAGCACAATGATCACCGCATGGACGCCAATCATGATCCTTCTTTGCCGTCATGTAAAGCGGTGAAACATAAGCGCTGCTGGACGGCCGTATTATTCCAAGCTGCATTATATGTTCAAATCCAGACTCGGCGGCTGCTTACTTGTCGGGTAGTAGGCGTCGGGGTTGTACACGAATGGGTTGACCTTCAGTGACGATTTTATGCACTGTTGTGTGGCGTACTTCCTTGGCATGATAGTTAGGTTTCACTATGCTGTGGAAGTTTCGAAGTAGGTGTGTATATCTATCATCCTCCGGTTTTGCAATGCAGACGCTATGGATGGAATAATCTGACATAATGTCTTGTACATTCAGCTGTTTGCATGCATCAACCAGCTTATTTTTACTGACACCAACCAGAAAGTCAACCCTAACAGAGAATAGTGTACATCGGCGACGATGGGAATCCAGGTAAATCGGCGGCGTAGACAGAGATCTTATATTAGTGATTGCTTGCCAAACGTCCGTATGCAAGTTTTGTTCGCAGCGTAGACAGACAGCCTGCTAGAGTTTGCTGACAGTCGCCTTGAAAGTGAGAGCGGATTAACACTAGCTTCGGCACCTGTGTCGACTAAAAACTGCGAGCCTGGAATTTTATCCGTCACCTAAAAGAGGCGGCCGGACGGAGTGTCAGTAACGCCTATCTTCATCACTGTCTGGCAGCTAATTTTCCCTCGTCCGATGACGAGTTTTTGTTGAAATTACAGGGTTTTGTACACCGATTGACCTTGTGGCCAAACTTTCTGTGGTACCAACGAATATTTTGTGGGGCTTCAGGTGCGTGAAAGCGACGCCTGTTAGTTCAGCGCTTACCTGATATAGACCTCGAGCGTCGAAGGTCCATATTCAAAACCTTCGCTGCTAACGCTTTAAATCTGGAAGTTAATGCTGCTAAAAGCAACTCAATACTAGATGAGTGGGTAGAGGTCGACGGAAGGCTGTACTGGGGGCTATTTACTGGGGTTGCTGTTCAACGGTTATCACAAAGGTTATCTGGATAGACTTCCACTATTATATCAGCCACAGGAATCGGTGACAAAAAGAACGCTGTCGTCACAATTAAATGTAGACGGAGCATGACCCTCCATGAACTCCAGCTTTCAAATGTGGCCGATACCGGGAAGCCTAACAGCCGCTAAGCTTTTAATGGATATCTCTTCTGATCCGTGCAAGCCAGTCAATGTTCATGAGTTCTTGAGGCACGCTGCGGTTGAACTTCGGTCGGTTTATGAGACCGGTCTTGAACTAAGCAACAGTCTGAAGGCATAAAATTGTATCGAAAAGTGTTATTTGTGATACTCTAGCTAGGTCTTATGCCTAGGTAATAGACGATTTTCCAGAGTAAACAAACTGCTAAGCCTCTTGGAATTAAGCGTCACCGGTGCACAAAACACGAGTTGCTTCCGAAAACAAATAATTGCAATGGACACAGAGGAGAAGCTAAAAGCCTCTGGTAAATGGCTCATTGATAACTACCCGGGAATGTAGGAATTTGAAAGGGAGTTGACTGACCCCAAATGTTGCCGCGTAGCAGCACAGGAGTTGTCAGGTTCAACGGATTCAGACAATGCCATTTCCATCCGTCACGTAACGGGTACTCTACTGCAACCTACCTTCACCACGAAGTACTCATGGTCACCACCGCAAGACGAGCGACCATTCAAGGAAACCTTGTCGTCAGTAAGTTCACGTCTTTGATTTGTCCCTAACCAAGACGTCCTTAAAAACATTCGTAGGCGTAGCAGCGAAGAAAAACACGTGCCGGAGGAAAAGATTGCGTCTCACACCCAAAAATGGCTTAACAACAGTCACACAAGACTAAAAACGTGAGAAAAAAAGGTCAAAGAGCAAAAACTTTTGTAAGCTTAATGTGTTCATCAATATAATTTCCTTAAGTTCATGAATTGGCTGAAAGTGAGAATGAGATGGCAGTACTCATGTACACCCGTCTACCCGGTCCTCTGGACAGCATCACCAAAACGGAATGAAGGAAACTGAAGTTTAATGTTCTCAAATAATATATTTTTTGAACAACCTATTTTACGTTTGTTTCTGAAAACTTAAATGCAGGGAAAGACTTCGGGCGCGCTCTGAAACTTTCGACTACTTCAGAAAATGTCTTGTCTGTTTTGGGGAACACTGCTTCCCCCTAA